CATTTTGGTACCGAAAATGAAAGTTCAAGGATAATTTTGGTACTTTTTAAAGATAAGGGACAATTTTGGTACCAAAGTGAAAAGTTGAGGGACCAAAATGGTACTTAAACCAACAAAATACTCATGAACTTAAACTTCATCACAATGGTGCTATTTTTCAGATTTTGTATCTCCTCTAAGAATTAAAGGTTTAGACGTTTTTGAATCACCAACTCAAGAATATCCAATTCCTTAACACTAATTGGACTAACTCCTAAAAAAAACCCTAATTTCTAAAAAAGAGAAAAAAATGTATGTTATGCAAATATGAATGCAAACTAACATAATAATGGATGCCTAAAAGTTATTCTCTCCCCCAAACTTAAATAAACATTGTCCTCAATGTAAAATAAAAATAAGAGAAAAGAAAAACTTTCTAGGTTTTGCATTTGAAAATTTGAGTTCTGAAGTTGAGTTCTTTTCAATTGGAGACTCCAAGCATGTGAATTTCTATAATCTCATCCCCCAAACTTGTTCAATGACCTGGTCAAAATAAAAGAACAACAATTTATAAACCAAAATACTCAACTAATCAAATAAATTTACCTCTTAGTGAAATGTGAATTTCTCCACATTAATGCATTAACTTGGGCCATAAAAAGAAAATAAATTAACATGAGACCTAAACTAATAAAAGAAAAATAAATAACAGAAACGAAAATTTTATGCTTGGGTTGCCTCCCAAGAAGCGCTTAATTTAAAGTCATTAGCTAGACTTTCTACCACTCCAAGGTGGTTTTGGATCAGGTCGTAGGGCATGTTCTCTCGTTTTCTGAAATCTTGGCTTTTTTGCCCTTAAGTTGAATCCACCATAAGATTTTCTCCACATACTATTTTGTGGTGGTTTGGGTTTAGGCCAGCAAATGCGCCTTCCCAATTCTTCTAGGATTGCCCCCTTTGATTCCAAGTAAGATGAGGATGTGTTCAAGCAATTTACGTATTCTTTGATTGGCTCCTTTGCTTGAATAAGATAAATCTTAAGTGGATCCTTGTAAGTGTTTTCCTGCAAAATCTCATCAACCATATCAACAAGAAAATATTCATTAAAATCAAATTTAACTAATGGAGACTCCGCATTGAACACTTCAATTGACACTTGAGCTCTTTCCTCTTCTTCCTTAGAGACATCCTCTTGTTTAGTTTCTGCAGGTATGCTTTCTACTTCTCCAAGTTGTCCTCCAATCTCCAAAGATAAGGTGTTTTCCTCTTCTTCTTGATGTTTCATTGTTGCACTAGGTAACTCACCTTGTATTTTTTCAGCAACTAAGTTGAGCAAATTATATCGTTTAAATAAGCAATCATGACTGAAATGATCAAATCCACACCATTCACATGTGATATTTAATCGCTCTACTAAAGCCCTCTTTAATTTGATCTTTTCAATGACTGCTTGAAATCTTTCAAGTTCATCATCATCAAGTTCTACTTCCCAATTGATAGTTATTGCTTCAACTTGTGCCCTTATCTCTGGAGCAAGCCAATGATAACTCATATAAGTACCTATGGCAACTCGATCCATAATTAGACCTGCAAAAACAAAAACAAAGAAACTAGAAAAAAAAAATCAAAGTAAAGAAATAAAAAGAAAAAAAAAGGTTCAAATTAAATCTAGAATTAATCAACTTCAATATTAATTAAATTCAACAATCCCTGGCAACAGCGCCAAAAACTTGATGCACTAAAATCACCCTAACAAGTGTACTAGTCGCCCGAAGTAATATAATGATGAGAGAATGTCGAACCCATGAGGATTACATCTAACTAAGTACCAAAATAATTAATCTAAATTTATTTGAATAATCAAAAAAGGAAGAAACTTTAATTAAAAATAATAAAAAGAAATTAACAATTAAAATCACGCTAATAAAGATATGAAGTACTAAGGCATTGATTTCACTATAATCAATTAATATAAATTTTGGATTATCAAATTGTTGAGTGTTATTGCATGTGATGGTGAATTTCCTTAGATTAATTAACTAACTTTCTCAAGTCAAGTTAATCCTTCACTGATTTGTTAAATTAATCATATCTCTATATATTTTTTAAACAAATTAATGAGCATTAAATTCTATGGAAACCTCTAGCTTAAGAAGGGAGAGCTCCTAACTCTCTTCTCTTCCTTCACTATTACATATGAGCTAATTACCTCTCGATCTCATAGTCTAGCACACGGTTTATATTATTATTGGTTTAATCGACGCAATTCTTTCTCAAATTCATGCATAAATCACTAAATCAATTGAATTGATTAGGCTACATCATAACTTTAATAAAATAAATTAATTCATAATAAAAATAATAAAATCTGAAATCACAGTTATGAACATAAGAATGTCTAAAGAAAAACAAAACCTAATTTGAGGTAATTGAAATCCTTGATCTTCTCATTGATAGATCCACTATCTTGACCTCCAAGAGTGCCTAAAAGAGGGCTACTATCAGCCTCTACCAAGCTTTCCTAATTCTGAATTTGGATGGGTATTTATAGAATTTTAGAAACCCTAATTGGAATAGAAATAAGACTTGAAGCAAAATAAGAAAGTTGAAATTTGGATGTTGAACGCATGGTGTGGACACCTCGAATTATGTGTCGACACAAAACAAAAAATAGAAAATCTAATTCTGGATGCTTAACACATGGTGTCGACACTCTGAGTATGTGTCGACACTACACTCGCGTCGAGTTTTTGGCCTCCTTTTGCAATTTCTTCAATGGTAAAATGGCAGATCTGTCCTCCAGCTTTTGTACAATGAGTACTTAGATCCCAAAACTCAAGATTCATTCATTAAGATCCCAAAGAAGCGCCCCTCTTCTTGCAATTCAGTTTCTCAACTTTCAAAAGATATTCAATTAATCCCAAAAAGTCTTCTTTTATGCATTCAAGTCCTTTTCTGCACAAAAAATGAAAATTATGTAAAATCTTATAAAACTTAGTAAAATCTCATAAAACTCATCCAAATATCAATAATATCAAGGCAACAATTTCACATTAATATGTATACAAATTCAACTCATCAATAACCTCCATTTATAGATTAATTATAGGGATAAATTAGGTAATTATTAGGAAATAACCTACCCTTAAATAAGACAATTAATCCACATAGACTAGTTTAATCAATTCTTAATAGAAAATAAATTTAATTTATAGAATATAATATGGCCAAAGCCCTTAGTTGCACCCTATACATTTTTTTTTTTTTTTGCGGTCTATATCCTAAAGTAATTTTTGTCCCGGTCAACACCTTCCATAATTTAAACCTTGTAAAAATTCCCAAACTACCAACAAAATGATGTGCAAAATAGGGGGTTTGACCACAACATCAAGGTGCAAATAAAGGATTAGATCATTAATTTTTGGGTTTTTCAAGGGTTTTGAATAGTGAATGGTGTTAACCAGGACAAAAATTAATTTAAAATGTTTATCGTAGAAAGAAAAAATGT